GGAAGGGCTAGAGTCCAGGAGCACCTGGGTCAGCCCATCAGGCCAAGAGGGGAAGAGGCCGTGAACCTGGGTGCTGGGACAGGCCCCTGCCTGCCCCCCGCTGTTCACTTTACACATGGGGGTGGGTCCTGGTACCAGGATAGGGAAGCACATGTCTGTCCACACTCCGTGAGGAACAAAAGAACAAACAGAAATGTAGTAGCAGGATCCTTATGATCCCAGGTCTCAGCCCTGCTCACCAGCCCCTTCCGCCAAGATTCTTGTCTCTTTGTTGCCTTTCCCTACGTGTGGACACCACTTGTTGACCTGAACCTACCTGCTCTCCCTATCTCTGAGAACTTACTGGGACCCTGCATGCTTGCCTAGACCCAGAGCAGACCCACAGCAGGTGTCTTCTCCATTGACACCTTCCTTAACTACCAGCTTTCTAAATGACATCTTCCTGGCCTTGGTTCCTGGCTCTCAGCTCTATTTATGTCTTCTTCCTGAGTCATCTTGGCCACTGCCTGTGGCTGTAAATCTCAGCTCTTACCAATCACTCCCACCGGCTTTTCTGGTGACTTCCATATAGCCCTCTGCCTCTGTGACACGTCCATTTGGTAGTCCAACATCTCAGTAGTAACAACAGAACAGAACTCTTGATTTCCATCCCCCCCTGTGCCTTATACCCCTGGCAATGGCACCTCAAGGAGTCATCCTTGAGGCTTCCCTTTCCCTCATCGCTTCATCCCATCTATCAGCTAGACTCGCTGGTTCTGGCCCCATAATGTCCTTGGTCACTCTCCCCTCCACAGACATCCCCCTGGTCCAAGCACCATCTTTGCCTGCGCAGATGATCCCCACCTGGTCCTCCTCCCCCTTCCCCATCCTCTAGCCCACAGGCACTGGGATTGTTTTGAAATCTTTGAAATCAAAACCAGCAACTTGAGAGACATCTAGAACATGAAGTCCTCAAGGCCCTGCCTGACCTTGGTCTCCCCTGCAATGGCATCCTGACCTCCAGAGCTCCAGCCATATTGGCCTCTTCTCTGGTCCCCAAACATGTTAGGTTCCTTCCTGCCTAATGACCGGATCTGCTCTTCTGTCTGTAAGAACGCTCCTCCCCCAGCTTTGCATCGTCTGGCTCCTTCTGCCCTATGCATCTCAGCTCAGAGAGGCCTTCACAGACCAGCCTCTCACCAGCAGCATCCCCTCCTGCTCACCTGCCCTTCTCTGCTCTTTATCAGATCAACCTTATTCCTTGATTTCCTTGATAACACTTGCCACCAAATCAAGGCATCTTGTTTATTCATTAACTTGTCCATTGTCTGTCTGTGCCCACTGGAATGCAGGCTCCCTGGAAGGGGGATGGATCTTTTGTCTGTCTTGGTTTACTCCTATAGCACAGCGTAGGTACCCAAGACATACTTAATGAATGAATGCATTATTTAATTAATGAACACTCTTTTTCCTCATCTGGACTCTGCCCTCCAGCTTGGATGTCAGGTAAGCATTTGTGTCTCCATGGGAATTATTATCCCCTGCCCCCTTTGCCTGGGATCCTTGGCCAGCCTAAATCCACAGACTTTACCAGACTTCCGAGTCCCGAGCCTTGCCTTGGCCTGTTGGTGGACTTGGCCATCCGTGCCCCACTGTGTCATCATGTCTCACAGTCCCCAGTGTGATTCTGGGCACATGGTCAGTACTGACATGGGACAGCTGTGCTGACCCACTTGCCTGTTTACAGGGGTTAGTGCGGTGGGGAGCGACCGTGGGGTGTTGGGGTGGGAGACACTGTGATTGACTAGTGTCCAGGAACTGTCACTGCAACTTCTAGGCTTCTAGAAAGTCCTCTCCTGACCCCTGCTGGTGGTACCATAATCAGACCTCAGACTCCTCATGTCCACTGAACGATGGGGTAGGATACTGGAGCGCAGGCTCTGGCAGAAGCAAGTCTGGAAGAAGCCAGGCCTTGCTCAGGTCAGTTAAAGCACATTTCAAGTGCCCCAGTGCCAATGAGCATTCCATCCCAGTGCTGGAACAGTAGTCTGACAAAAGCAGTGGGTCACCGGGGGGAAAGGCCACCTCATCAGAATTGCCAGGCATGGGCTCTGGGGCCTGGGAAGGAGCCTGTCTCAGGCCACTCAGGGTGGGTGGCACAGTCTCCCTCTCCCTCAGGGGAGACCGGAGTGGTCACGGACAGCTCTGGGTGGAGAGAGGAAGTCCGCCCCTGGGAGGAGCAGCCCATCAGGTGGGAGTTCTGTCCCTGGGCTGGTTGTATCTGGCCCTGAGAAAGCGGCACCCCAGCCCTGCATCCAGGCAAGGGGCCCACCCTAAGAAGACATAAGGAGACACTCCTCAGAGCAGAAGAAAGAGGTGAGTTGTGTGAAATTCATGCACGGTTTCACTCTCAGTGCCAGGGGAGTGACCTACTCCAGGCCCTGGCCGGGGCTCCGTTCTACTCCCCTCCTCCCGTTTTCCCCCTCTGCACCCCCCTTCACTCCCCCTCCTTGCTGTCAACCATCTCCCTCCTGCCCTCCCTGGGCCCCTCCATGCAGGGCTTGGCACTGTGTGAACTAATGAGGTGCTCAGGTAGCACCCGACAACGCATTAAATAACTGGGATCCCCGCCATTCATCTTTCAACCCTGGTTAAAGCAGAAGACAACATCACAGCGTGGAGCTGCCTGTCTTAACATCCAGTGGGTGTCCTTGGAACACACAGGGCACCGCCTTCAGAGCTGAGCCTTTCTCAGGCATCCTCGTCAGCTAGAATTCCATGACATTTTGGATTTCTATCTGCTCTGAGTCTTTTTATGGCAAGTGATAGGATTTTCCATTTATGGCCAGACTCAAATTTCTGGCCATATAAATGCATTTAAGTTAAAAAGAAAGCTAATTTTAAAAGGAGTAAGGATAGTGTGGGCGTCAAATTCGGCCGAGTTTGGGGAACACTGAGTTAAGAAGCGATGTTGATGATGCTGGTGGGGCAGCGGCTGTGTTGAATTCTGTGCTGGGCTCTGTGCAAAGTGTTTGACATGCGTACTTTTCGCCCACTCCCCCCAACTACCCAGTGAGATGTGTACTGTTATTACCCCATTTAACAAGAAGATGGCAGGAGTTAAAGAATTTGCTCCAGGCCCTAGAGCTACTGGATGTGGGAGGGGATCTGACCTCAAGCTTGCCTGCCGCCAGGGGCAGAACCCAAGGGAACACCATGGGCCCCCGTTGTAAGGAGCCTCCAGACAAAACGCTTTAGCTCAGGGACATTCTTCAGACTGCCGGTCACCACCATCTACCCAACCCCTGTGACCCGGCGTGGCGTATCTGAACATCCTCTCATTTAATCCTCAAAACCATCGCCCCCGGAGGTAGTTACTCTTCTTCCTTCTTTAGCAACGACATGCCTCTCAGCGGAAGTTAAGTGATGCATCCCCTAAGACCCAGCTACCAGGTAGCAGAGCCGAGACCGGAACCTACAGCCCCGACCCCAAAGCCTGCGTCTTTCCGACCACTCCCAGGATGGTAATAGTAACAAGACCGGCCTACTGGCCAGCCCTGTCCTCGGAGCACCTTATCTCATACTCCAACAATCTCAAGACAGAGGTCCCATGATCTTCCCTATTTACAGACGGGGAAACTGAGGCTCTCAGCTGCTGTGGTATTTCATGAAGCTTAAGGTGCTTTCATTCTTCCCCGGAAGTCCCTTGATTAGGCAGCAGAGCCCCTGAGCGGCTGGTGAGTTTACTTTTTGGGTCGGGCTTCTGAGATGCTTTGAGCACGTGCCCTACTGTGGCCATTCCTTGTCCGTTCCTGGGGCTGGTGGAGGTCTGGGCGTGGGTTGAAAAGCTGCATACCAGCTGACCACCCCCCATTATTAGGCATTCACTGCCAGTGGACTTGACAACGGGGACAACTGTAGGTGCTCTTGGTGCCCGCCCAGATCCTCTTTCTGGGCTGGTGCATCCATTCCCCAGCTCCTGGGAATTGTGAATGTTGGCTGCTAACAGTTCAAAACTGCCTCCTTCCCCAGGAACTTGTTCTCAGGGGAGGACAAATGGGATCCGCTTTTCCACAAAGATACACACTCCCCACCCCCAGCCCTATTGCCAATGACTCAGTGATGGAGGAGCACAGAAGGCCAAGCTTCTTGCCCCAAGGTGAGACCAGAGCTCCCAGAGACCAATTACACCCCAGAGCTCCCCTGGGATCAGGCTGAGGCTGGACTCCAGCTGAGACCTCCTCCTTGCTCTACTCCTTCCTCTGTCCTCTCTTACCTCCCTCACTCCCATTTTCCCTCATAAATCCTGTGCACACAAATCCCTGTCTCAGGCTCTGCCCCCAGGAGCCTGGCTTGAGACAGGGGAGGACTGGAGATGCTGTGGAAGGCGTGCTCCCTGCCCTCAAGGATCATGCTCCCTGCACCTCAAAGATAGTTGCAGAGACAGGCCACACAGGTACCAAAAAACCATCCACAATTCAGATTGGAATAGGCTGGAGAAAACAGTGGTAAAAAGAGGGGAGAAATCACTGGAACTGTAGTGGGGGAAGAGCTTATGGAAGACATGGGTGGGACCAGCCCATGAAAGATAAGCAGCACTTCAGAAGGGAAAGTTCCAAGGGAAGTCCCGAAGAGGGACGGGAACCTCTGTTTCCCCTCTCCGGCTTCTTCCTGCCTGGGATCTGTGACTAGGGAACACCCCCGCCCCCCGCAGTGGGGGTTAGGGGTACTGTGATTTGACAATCCCAATAGTGGGTCTAGCATCGTCCAAGAGTGCCAGGGCTGCTTGAGAGGGCCGGGCCAGTGGACCCTGAGGCCAGGAAGTCGCTCGGTTCTTAAGCTTTCCCTGAGAGGCTGGGGGCTTGGTCCATCCATAAATTCCTCCTTTATTCTGAGAAGGGACAGACACTCCCTCAGCCCTGCACTGCGGGCACGGTGACCCAGTGGGCTTGAGGGTTACCTCTGCCAGGGGGCGAAGGCACAAAGGGGGTCCACGTACCTGCCGGACCGCGGGCCTGGGGGTTTGCTCACAAGGATTCAATGGTGTAATAGGCAGCTCCTAGGGCCCCCAGAGCCACAGCAGCAGTCCCGAGAGCTTGGAACACGCGAATTACGGTGAGTGGAGTGTTTCCTTGTAGGTTTTCTGTAGAGCAAAGCAGAAAGCCCACAGGTTGGGGGAAGCTGGACTCTAGTGCCTGTCTACAGACAGGGGAAGCAGAAATGGTAGGGTCCCCTCAGGATGTCAGGAATGCCCACCTCCCCGCTACTGATGTTCCTCTCAAGGGAATCCAACTCTGCCCACCCCGCCCAGTGAATCCCTGCCACGGGACCCCTGCCTCTGAGGATGGGCAAGCCCAGGATGCCCGCTCCCTGGGACACTCAGGGAGCAGGGTATGAAGGCGGTTAAGGCCGCGGTGTGCCAGGCCCCATGTTAGACATCTCACACCCAGGGTCTTCCTCCAGCCTTACAACAACCCTGTGAAGTAGGTTCTATCATGTGGCTCCGTTTTGGAGAAGAAGAATCTGAGGAAGCCACACGTGACGCCCACCACACGGGCAAGGAGATGGACCATTGTGCTAATGACTACGAGGAAGACTTTCACAAAACGCAATATCCATTTAGACAACAATCCTGCTAAAGTAGGGAATCTTGTTTAATGTGAATACGTATTTAAAGCCAAGATCCAACATTCCGCTCCACTGAGAAATGTCAAGATTATGGAAGCTGGTGTTACAATTTGAGCAGAATTGAGACCACAGGTCTCACCCTGGCCAGACTGCATCTCTGCCCCATCCCCTCCCTTCCCTAATGCTGAGCCGCCTTGCTTTTACGTTTCTCTCCACCTAGAACACTCTCTCTTTTCATGGTAAGCCACGGGAAGATCCCAAGACCCTTCTAGACTCAGTGCAGATAGATACCATTGACACTACAAAGTCTCCGTGGACCCTGACTTTGGAGTGAGCACCTGCTTTTTCTGAAGCTCTTTGAACTTCTGTGGGGAAGGTGTCACTTCCTGGCTCCCATCTGAGTTTCTAAATGTACACGGCTCAGCTTGCCGCGTAGACTGTATGATTTTAAAGGGTCAAGTTCCCTGTTCTGGTTTTCCTCATAGCGTCTAGTATTCTACGCCAAGGAGGCATTCCCACTCGTTGGTTTTAAAGTGATACGAAATCCATGGCCCGGCTAGACATCAGATGGACAGAAATACTAAGTGTGTGGGAAGAGAGTAGAGGTGAGTGGCGGGCAGGTCGTTCCTTGATAGGACTTACCAGGCTGTAGAGTATTTTTAGCTCTACACATGTTCTCCCAACACACCTGGGTATCCGTTTGCTTCTCTTATGTCTGAGAGATGGTGCTTTGGGGAGAGAGGGGATTTGGTGGGGGAGAGACCAGGAAGAGGAGCAGGAAGAGGGTGAGGGGTGGGTGCGTTCTGCGCCTGGTTTAGGGATATGAGATCCCCAAGTGGGAAGTCTCTTCGCGGACATCGGTGAGACCCTGAGTACAGGTGTAGCTACTCTGGGGCCCAGAGCTGGGGGCAAAGGGAGGCACATAGCCCTGCACCCCTGGGAAAGCGGACTGTCGTCTTTAGTTCCGTTTTCTGCACAGGGGTCTTCCCTCGAGCGGAAGCAGAAGCCACCAGGTGGCTTTCTCCTGACGGCTTAGTGGGAGAGGAAGGGAAGGGCAGGTACTGCGCATGATGCTGTGGGAGCCTGGGGGCATGTGCCCTGTGGAGACTGCCAGAAATTACGTGAAACCCTCTGAAGGGGGTGGAGGTCTTGCTCTTGCCAACAGGCCGTATGAGTTGCAATCAGTATTTATCACTAAATTCTGGGGAAAACTCATATGCAGGTCAAGAACCTGAAGCTCTCAGCTATGGTATGGGCCACAGAAGGAGGCCCGTGGCCCAACAGAGCATTTAATCACAATGCTCTGAGTGACAGGGGCTTTTCTAAGGGCTGTGAGGGAGTATCCTCTGAGGAAGGAGTGCACCTCTGGAGAAAAGAAACACAAGTCTCCTAAAGAAGCAATTCCCGGTAAGGAAGGAAACTGGCCCCTCTCTGTGCAGGTGGGGGGCCCCGGCATGTGGGTCTGGTCGGAAAGGGCAGGGCGCCAAACCCGGGGAAGTGACCCCCCTGGAGAGGCTTCCTTTCCGCCTGGGATCCTCAAGAAGAAGTTACAACATGGCGCCTAACATGGTCCAGGGCAGAGCCCGGCCCCGGGAACCGAGGGCCCCGAGGGTCCAGCCCCCCACGCGCTCCAGAACCTGTAGAAAGTGAGGAGGCTTGGGGATCCTCTCCCTGGCATGGTGGGCCAGACCCGAGGAAGGAGGACATCAAAGATGCGGCTATGACACAGGCCCAGGCGACGCCAGCAAGCAGAGCTGCCGGGGCAAGTGGAACAGGAACAGTAGGCCCGCGGGCCCGCACGAGCCACAGCCCCTGGATGGACAGAGAAGGAGAGAGATGAGGGACCGGCTGCCTCCAGGAGGCTGGGGAGAGCTAGGGAGACACGGCAGAGAAGACTAGCTGCAGGGGAAACTGGTTGCTTTATAGACTGGAGCTCCCTGGGCCATTTCAAAATAACGGCGCCATTATTTTATTTTTTAATTTTTTTTAAGATTTTATTTGCGAGAGAGAGAATGAGAGACAGAGAACATGAGAGGGAGGAGGGTCAGAGGGAGAAGCAGACTCCCCGCCGAGCAGGGAGCCCGATGTGGGACTCGATCCCAGGACTCCAGGATCATGACCTGAGCCGAAGGCAGTCGCTTAACCACTGAGCCACCCGGGCGCCCAGCGCCATTATTTTTTATTCTCAGTTTGCAAACAGGGAAACTGAGGCTCAGAGGATGGATGGGATGTGGCCTTACAACAAGTAGATTGGAAGAAGTGGCCTTCAGCTCAGGGCTTCTAACTCGTTCGGTGCTCCTTCCCTGGAATTCACAGAAAATGACCGCGGCGGGGACCGCGGCTCTGAGATTGCGCTGGAACACGGTCCGTTCTTCTGGGGTTCGTTGGTTGATGCAGAAGACAGCAGCTGCTCCAGTTTACAGTCTGTGAAGCACGTTCCCAAACCTCTCTCCCGTTTGTCCTCTGCCAAGGATACCAGCGGACTCAGAGATGGCGCCGTCCGCCGTGACCCAGGAGGGCTTCTGGCGGGTAGTTCCCACCTCGGGTGGTGACTTCGGTCCCGGCTTCTTGACCAGCTATACGTTCTTCCAACGTGAGCTCCGCGCAGCCAGTGCTCAACCTGGCAGACGCCGCACGCTTCCTCCTGAGACCTGCCCACGACAGATACTTTTCCTCCAATGGAGAAGGAAGGGATTCGAAAAGGCAAGTCTTATCTTTTTTCTCTGCTAATTTTTTTTTAAACAGACACTTAATTCCCGTGTCATAAAATTTACCCTTTAAAGGGTTCGGTGGTTTTTGGTCTATTAACAAAGGTGTAAAACTATCCATTGCTGTCTAATTCCAGAACATTTTCATCTCCTCCCTCCCCAAGGAAACCCCATGACCATTAGCGGTCACTGCCTTTCCCCACCTCCCCCCCCAGTTCCGGGCAATGGATTTGCCTACTCGGCACATTTCATGAATGGAATCATATGCAACATGTGGGCTTTGGCGGGCTAGCTTCTTTCACTTAGCCTAATGTGTCTGAGACTCATCCATGTTGTAGACTGTGTCAGTGGTGCTAAATAGGATTTCGTTGTATGGACATACCACATGCCGTTTATCCATTCATCAGGTGGTTGATATTGAGTTTGTCCCATTTCCTGGCTATCATTACTAATGCCGCTGTGAACATTCACGTGCACGTTTTTGTATGGATGCTCTATTTTTAGTTCTCTTGGGTATGTCCCCAGGAGTGGAATTGCTGGGTCATACAATAACTCCACGTTTGACCCTCTGAGGAACTGCCAGATTGTTTTCCACAGCGGCTGCACCATTCTACGTTCCCTCCAGCCGTGGACGAGGGTTCCAGTTTCTCCACAGCTTCCCCTAACACTTGTTACTGTCCATCTTTTGATTACAGCCATTTTAGTGGAAGGCTAATACTTTCTGAAACTACAGTGTTTTCTGCATCCCAAAAGATTTGGGTTTTAGGGGTGCCTGGGTGGCTCAGTTGGTAGAGCGTCTGACTCTTGATTTTGGCTCAGGTCATGATCTCACGGTCATGGAATCGGGCGCCATGTTGGGCTCTGCGCTTGGCTCAGAATCTGCTTGAGATTCTCCCTCTTCCTCCCCCTCCCCACCTCAAATAAATAAATAAGATCCTTTAAAAAAAACTTGGATTTTAGAAAATGGCGCCCTTATGTACAGGTCTTCATCCCTTATCACCAACATTTTTTCCCACTCTGGCTCAAAGGGAGAAAATTCCTCTGGCAGAAAAGTGCAGGGTGTCCACTATAACCACGGGCAGGCTACCCCTGTCTCCTGCTTGGCCTTCTCAATAAGCAGAATTCCTCCCCAGGGGTGAGCCACACGCATTCCTCAAAAGATGTGGGAATGGAACTTTTTGCTTTCTACAGGTATCAGTTCTGAAGGCCGTAATCCAGAAATGTTTCCATCAGTGGTTGATGATTGCAATATATGCAATACGTAACACTCAAAACCATTTCTACATGTTAAGAATGAATTGATGCTCAGGGCGCCTGGGTGGCTCAGTCGTTAAGCGTCTGCCTTCGGCTCAGGTCATGATCCCAGCGTCCTGGGATCGAGCCCCGCATTGGGCTCTCTGCTCCACGGGAAGCCTGTTTGTCCCTCTCCCTCTGCCTGCCGCTCCCCCTGCTTGTGTTCCTGCTCTTGCTATCTCTCTCTCTGTCAAATAAATAAATAAAATCTTAAAAAAAAAAAAAAAGAATGAATTGATGCTTAGCCACGGAAATACTGCTGTCCCAGCAATTGCTTGGAGTTAGCTCTCTCACTCACACCTCACGTCTAGTTTATTTCCACACCATCCCCGAGGAATAAGCTGTGGCCCAGAGAGTGTGGCCTGCTCAGGACCATAGAGCCACGGGCACTGGCTCATGGTGAAGCCAAGAGAAGCTCAGAGAAGTGTGTTCTTCCTCCTGGGGAAGCTTGGGACTCTTGGGACCAGAAGGTCAATGCTGCAGTTAGGAGTGAGGATTACAGAGTCAGAATAGATGGAGGTCCCCCTCTCAGCGCTACCAGTGCCTGCTTGAGAGTGTGTTGTTTGATTTCTTTGAGCCTCAGTTCCCCCACCTAAAAAAGGGAGAGCATGATGATAACACCTCCTTTATAGGACTGTTAAACGGGAAGATTCACACTGACAGCTGAGCTGAATGCTAGGTACATGGTAAATGCTCGGGGATAACTGTTAGTTACTACCATTATTATTATTAGTAGTAGTAGTATTAACCAGCCTGTCTCCCAAACTCCACTTGAATTCCCTCTACACAATCCAATGCTCATTCAGACTCTGGCTACCCAGGAAGATGGAGGACCACTTTTCCTAGATAGCCATTCCATTTTCAGGCAGAGCTAATTTTTGGAAATATCTTCATGTTGAGCAGAAATCTGCCTATCTCTAGTGTCTTCCATGGGTAAGGCTGCCAGATTTAGCGGATAAAAATACAGAATGCCCATGCAATATCTGGGACACACTTACACTAAAACGTTATTTGTTGTTTATCTGAAATTCAAATTTAACCGGGTATCCTATATTTTATCTGGCAACCATTTAGTCAGACATCTGAGGGCAACATGGAACAAGTCTACTCACATCTTTTACTTGACAGATTTCCTCCAAGTCCTTCAACCAAATCTCATACATCAAATGGTTCTTGCTTTCCTACGCCCTCATCCCCCATTATCTTCTTTGGACTAGATTGCTAGGCATCTTTTACAGCACCCAAGTGTAGCCTGATGAGGACACAGTATGACCACCTCCCTTGTCCTAAACCATATACTTCTATTAACACATCCTTGGTTTTTATTTTTGAGCAGCCACATGGCACTTCCAACTTCTAATAAGATAGTATCACCACCCAGCCAAGTGCAATGTCAATATGTCTGTGTGGCTGCCTTCATTGAGACTCAGGTTGGTGAGGAATGGCAAAATCCAGGAATCCTGGTGTCCTGGGTAACAACAAAACCCCAAACCCTCACACTTCACCAGCACAGTTCCAGAATACACATCAACCATGCACCACTACCCGAAATGAACCCGCCTCTGGGGGACCCTAGGACTCCATCAGCAGGAAGGCTAGAAGTTCTTGAGTTAGAAGCCTGCCCACCTGTTTTCCTGGATCGAGAGGATGCTTTTGTGTTAGTGTCCTGAGGCAACAGGCCCCGGGTGGAGGAGTTGGTTTCGGGAGCTGGGAGAGCCTGGGGCACAGACTGGCAGGGAGTGGATTCAGAGCTGGGCTTCGGGGTGGATCCGGGGCTGGGCTGCGGGGTGGATCCGGGGCTGGGCTGCTGCGGGGTGGATCCGGGGCTGGGCTGCTGTGGGGTGGACTCAGAGCTGGCATGCTGCGGGGTGGATTCGGAGCTGGCGTTCTGTGGCGTGGATTCGGAGCTGGCTCGCTGTGAGGTGGAGCCACGGCGTCTGGACTCCGGCTTCTTCCTTTTGCCCTTCCTCATGGTGGGTTCTCTTCACCTAAACGTGGACCTACATGGAGCTGCCTAATCTTCCGGCTCCCTCCTAGAGGGGCCGTTTGCCCCTGCCCTGGGGGAAGGCTCTGGCCTCGGGATGGACCTAAGCCCCACAGAGAACAGTCACCTCCACCCCCCGCTGTGAGGTCACAAAAGCCAGGGTGGTTCCTATGGCAGGGCTCTGGGGACAGTCTTCTCTGCCCACCCCAGCCTGCTGTCCTCCCGCCTCCCCAGCGACTGGGATGGGCAGAAGGCCGCTGCTGGGCCCTCAGGGACCTGCGTCAGCCTGGCCACAGGGATGGTGACATCCTGGACCCCCACGATGCTGCGACCAGAGCGCCTTCTTCAGGCACCTCTCTGGGGGCGTGTTCCTGGGTCCCTATGCGCTCTCTGTTTCACTCTTAGACACCCTGGTGTGACGTTCAGCTCTGTCACCGGCTTCCACATACCCAAAACCAACAAACGACTTCACCATGCATTCTGTGAGTTTTAGGCACTTTACTGAAGATTTGGGGGTCCATGGGAGGTCCCCGGCTTCTCCCATTTCAGCTGTTCCCTCCTCATTCAGAAGATCTTAAAGTAGCTCCAAAACCTGCCCTCCCCACTGGGGGAAGGGGCTGGGGACCCCCAACTTTGATAGGAACCCTTGCTTTTGGCAAAAGGATTTCCCCTATAAGCATAACAGTTGTTTGGAAAACTACACTTTCTTTGAACTCAGTCGCAGCGACAACAGACTACCCCTCAAACCCCAAACTCGTCGGGTCAATTAGGGGACTATGAATGTTTCTTGAAGGTAAAAATATGATTTTCCTTTCAGGATGGAAGTGGATAAGACATTTTATATATATATATATTTTTAAAGATTTTATGTATTTATTTGACAGAGAGAGACACAGCGAGAGAGGGAACACAAGCAGGGGGAGTAGAAGAGGGAGAAGCAGGCTTCCCGCAGAGCAGGGAGCCCGATGTGGGGCTCAATCCCAGGACCCTGGGATCATGACCTGAGCCGAAGGCAGATGCTTAACGACTGAGCCACCCAGGCGCCCCGGATAAGACATTTTAAAAGACAACCCTAAACTTCACACTGTGACTGCAACACAGGATGTGTTCACATTAGAAGACTACCTCCACCATAAATGCATCGCTAGGTGGGTGAGTATTCAGCTGTGAACTCCGTGCTCTTGGCATTGGGGGGGGGGGGCAGAGTAATGCTCTTGGCCCAGGATAGGGTTTAGGGCAGACATTGCTAGAAGGCACCTCCACACCAGACAGGCCCGATGTGAAATGTAAAATGACAGAAAATATTTTCGGGACTCTAGAGCCTGAAAAGACCTTAATGATTCTCTTTTTGCAGAAGAGAAACTGAGGTTTAGGGAAGTTAAATCACCTTCCAAGATCACAGGACTGGTTGGAAGCATCGACAGGGCTAAGTTCCCATTCAAGGCTCTTTCATTTCATGATTCTAGGAGGCAATAGGGAATCAGATAATTATACAGGTCTTAAAAATCAATGGGCTAAAAAAAAATCCCTTGAGTGAGAAGACTGAATTCCTTAAAAAAAGGCACCAAGGATTAGAAGTGGAAGATAGCTCAGATCAATAAAGTCGGATTGAATTTGGTTGACCATCAGCACAAGGAGGTTCAAGGAGCAGGGGAGTCTACAAGAAGGTTGTAATTCTCTCAAGAGCGATGGATCCCTCTGGGGGAGTCAACTTAGAATCAGAGAGACTGAAAACCCGGGTCAGGGACCCTGTCCAGATTTAGCAGACAGGTCAGGAACTCCGAAGGCATTTATCTCTGCAAAATTAGATTTTCAGACACCAGTGGGCTTTTGCCTGAGGCTTCAACCTGATTCATATCAGAGGTTCTCAACCTCAGCTCTATTGACATTTGAGGCCAGATAAATCTTTGCTGTCTGAGCCGGATAATTTTCCTGTGTATTGTAGGAAGTTTAGCAGCATCTCTGGCCTCTGTCCTGAGATGCCAGCAACAGCTACCCGCCCCTCCCTACCCCACCCCGGTGTGGCAATAAAAAATGTCTACGGACAATGCTAAATGTCTCCGGGTGTGTGTGTGTGTGTGTGTGTGAAAATTGCGCTTGGTTGAGAATCACTGGTTTAAATGAATTAGATAAGGGGCGAACACTCATGGGTAGTATTTCCTCGTAGAGATGAAAGGAACGTGTCCTTTCACACCAAGGAGCCAAATGGCGCAGAAAACAGGTCCCTGTTCCTGGGGAGAGCTATGGAAGAAACACAGAGGCTCAGGCTTTGGGAGGAGTGGGGAGTTTTTCTATGGCAGTGCAGAAAAATATGGGAGGGTTCTTTTGTAAGGGTGGCCCCCAAGAAGCAGGGAGAGGGCCCTCGTGGAGTGAGAGGTTGGCCCAGAGGGATGAGGAAGAATGGCACTGTGATACTTTGCTAGAAGGTCTTCCTTGGCCCCCTCTGCCTTCCGGCTGGAGCCCAAGTTCCCGGATGGAAGTCTGACTCCTCTATAACATGGTCACAGACCGGTGTCCCAGGCGCACCAACCACCTCGCCGCTACCTTGTCAAGTTCTTGCCAGCTATGAGTGTGGAGGCTTGCTTTCCTCCATTTGTGAAAGCTACCAGGCCCCTCTCTCTCTGTCAAAACACCTCCCATCAACGAGATCCATCTCAAGTGGACCCATCTCCTCATACAGCCCTTCTCCAGATCCCCAACTGGAAGTGACCCCTCCTCCCCCGAGCCCCAGATCATACATTGCGTGGTGTTAGAGTGATGTTTCTCCTGTCTTCTCTCGAGTTCCCTACTCGCAGACTGTGAATACCCTGGAGGGCCCAAGTCCAGAGAAGAGGCTCAACACAAGCTTCTTGAAGGTGAGGGTAGGAGGACAAAGCAGGAAACCACCGAAGGCAGGGTGAGCATGGAAGATGGGGGCCAAGGTACCTCACAGACTGCATCACTTAAGGGGTTATTTTCAAAGATGGACTGGGGTTTTCTGGCCTTGGCTGAGGATCACGGAACAGTCCACAGGCAAGGAGCTCTCCTACTCGACCCGGGAAGCCACGGAACAATCTCGTGCACTATTTGTGAGAAGGTGGATTCTAAGGGGAGGCGAAGTCAGGATAAGGTTCGGAGGGTGTGAAAATCCACACCCAGTGGTTCTGGCCCTCTGGCTGCGTCCGGGGCACCAATAGCAAGCGTGTCAACGTTTGTCCTGAAGCTCGCATCTTACTGCTGGATAACACCTCAGACACCAACTGGCCCTTGGCCCCCACCTGTCAGGAAAGGTAACTGGTCCTCAGAGGGGACAACCTTCTCTGGTCACCAACAGGAAGGTGGCAGAGCTTTGAGCAACTGGGTGTTGGAACTCCCTGCCCAGAGCTCTTCCTTCCCTGCTGCTGCCTCTGGAGGGGACTTCCAGAGACAGAAGGTCCTGGTGCTCATTCCAGAGCCCATCGTCCAGGGCTCTAGACCCACAGATTAACCTCTGGGGCCACAGGCCTGGATTCCTTGATAGGCAAGCTCTCAAGTGCTCAGTAGGAATTCTGACACAGCACCTCCTCCAGAGCATAGTTGTGAGGATTAGACGTGAAAAGCCCTTAGAACAGTGCCTGCCTCACAGCAGGCAGGTTTTTATTGTAAATTATGATTCCCTTGGAGGAGAAGCCTACAGAACCAAGCAAAGAATAAGTGGATGTGGAGAAGAGGGGGTGGGCCTGGGTCCTACAAACTCCCATATCTGTACCTTGCAAAAGTGTGATCCAGAGTGCAGGGCAGGGGTGAGGGGAAAGGGCCTGGGGCGGGGGGGGGGGGTGCGGTGGGGTGGGTGGGAAGTGTAACTCTACAACTTAAAAACATTTGAACACTTTCGCCCAGAGAGTGCCCCAGTGAGCACACGTGGGGTGAGACATCTAATTAATCTTCACCCAAACCGGTGTTAAGTGGAGGCGCTAGGAGAGGGGCCGTGACATGGGGGATTTGTCCACTCCCCCGGACCAGGACGGCACTCCCTCGGTCCTTGCAGCCCGCCCCCGCCCCCGCCGGCTCGCGGGCCCCTCACCATCCGTCTGCGTCTCCTGATCCACCAGCGGGACGCAGCCCCGCTGCCCGGCACTGCGCGCTCGGCTGGCGGCGGGCTGGACGTCCAGGGTGCAGTCGGGGCGGCCGGGGCTGAACACGGCCGTGTGCACCTCCGCCGGGGGGCTGTGCGGCGCGAAGGCGCCGCAGAGCAGGCTCTCCATGCGGCGGCGCGCCTCGGCCTCCTCCTCGGGCCGCGGCTGCACGATGATGCCGACGAGCGCGGCGGGCGGCCGGCCGTCCCGCGCGTGCACCTGCTGCAGGAGCAGCTGCAGCCGCGGCAGGTTGGAGCGCAGCGCCGACGCGCGGCACAGCACCAGGAGCAGCCGGGCGCTGCGCTCGGGCGGCGCGGGCGGCGGGCGGCGATCCCGGCGTCCGGCCGCCGGCTCCTCGGCCGCCTCGCAGCGGGAGCGCTCCGACCGAGCCGGGGCCGCCCCGCACTCGCGCGCGGCCTGGCACCCGTCGCGCGGCGTCTCCTCGGTGCAGCGGCCGGACTTGGCGGCCGGGCAGTCGGCGCCCGGCCGCGCGCTCTCGCCGGGACGCTTGCGCCGCCGCGTGGAGCAGCTGCCGGAGCTGCTGTGGCCGCTCGTGGCTCGGGGGGGCGGGGGCCCGGCGGAGTGATCGTCCGGGGCCTGCCGGGTCAGGCTGCACTCGTCCCGCTTCCAGAGCTCGCCGAACAGCAGTATGTGGCCGTGGCCCTCGACGGGCTGCGGGGCCCTGGAGGGCCCGGCCCCAGGCTCCATGTCCGGCCCGGCTCTCTCGCCCCTCTGCGCCCCGGGGCCGCCGCTGGCCGCGGGACAAGGGGCCCTTCCCTGGAGCATGTCACAATACCCCTGCGCCCTACCTCTTCCTGTCCTGACCCAGGGCCTCCGCCCTCTATTTTTTGGAAATCTTCCAACATAGGGAAGTCGCGGCTGCAAAGCCCGTGG